ACACACACACACACACACACACACACACACACACACACACACACACAGGCACACAAATATTTCTATAAATTAACCTCAAATTTGCCATTCAGGATATTTTTAAGCTATTCTGCCACTAAATACTTACATGTCCAACCCTATACTGTGAAAAAGTAAATGTTCCCCTTAGCCACACAATAAAGATGTATTATATCAAAGTACAGGAAAGAGTGCTGGTCGCCAAAGTCATTAGTGCATCACATAAACAAGGAATTTTTAAAGGTCATTCTTCAAATAACCTTTGTGTGCATACGAAATAAAAGGTTATTTTCCCAATGATAACCTTAGAATGAGGACAATGTTCAGTGTTAAGACAAAATGGCAAGGCACAACATTTACAGAACGGGCTTTTAAAATATCAAGTGCAGTCGTGCAGTCTCCATGGACACTCTCACTTGACACTGTGCACTGTTGCAGTGATGCAGCCTCTACAGACACTCTCGCCCAGCACTGCACACTGCTGCAGTGAGAGGAGGAAAGAAGGGCTTTATTTCACAGCTTACCTCATCCTGTGGGATCATCCTTACAGACTGCAAGGAGAGTACAGAATGACTGGGGAAATCAAAATTAGGAATTCAAAACACTAGAGTTAAAAATCTTTAAAATATACTTATATTATTAAGGACTAGAAGACTACACAGAATTGTACTCCAGAATTGTACCCCAGACTTAAAGACTACACAGAAATTGATACCCCATGCTACCCGTATCAATGACGTTTCATGCCAGTTCATGCCAGAGACTGCCCCTGCTCCCCTTACTAGGGAACCTCCATGGAGACTGAACTGACCAATGGCAATTGATTCTGGTAGAAAACATTGAAAGAAGTTCATTGACCCAATTAATGTGTTAACAGCCTTAAAAACACCAGCCAATTCTTGAGAAGCCTACTTCATTAGTTACTGGCGACTCCTGGAAATGAGTCAGGACATTTGCTCTTTGTCTGTTATGATACACTCTAAAGCCATGTGGAAATACACACACACACACACACACACACACACACACACACACACACACCCCTTTGGTGGGGGATGGGAGGGTAGCGGCTGGGCCAAAGAACAGAGGTAGGCAGTCATGTCTGCAGATGACTACGGCATGTTGCGACATATGTAAGTATTTCAGAGTATACAGATGTGGGTGCAAACAGAGCCAGGCCAGGTGGATGGCAGGAGAGGAATGGCATGACTATTCTGGTCAAGGGAGGTAGTACGCATTGTCTGTGGGGGTGGCAGAAGCAGAGACAGTAATGCAGGCAGGATGACCATACTAGCAAAGGGCATCACGAGGAGCAAACAGGGAAACAGATTCTGTCAAGGAGGACACTGGGACCGTGCCCCCTGACAGAAAGGAACAGATTTCAAAGGTTTGAGTTCAGAGTTTGGGCTGGGGGAGGGGAATCTGTGCTGGATCATCATGGTAGGGGCACAGTGGAACAGAGCTCTTCCTCTCTGGAGGGCCAAGACAAGGAGAAGACACAGCCCCAAACCCATGCCCCTCTGATCTACTTCCTCAATGGCCCCACCTTCCAACAAGTCCATCAAAGCCTGAGGCCATCAGATGAATTGCTGATTAGCTCGGACTCCAGGTGACCTAACCACCCCTCAGTGACTGGATCCACCAGGTGGGAGCCAAGCCTTCACCTTATGAAGCTTTTCAGGGGACATAAGCCATACAAGAGGGGCAGAGGGTGAGGAGGGAACACAGAGTAGCCAGGAAAGGCTGGAACAGCTGAGTTCTGAAGGATGGCTGGGGAAAGAACACAGGATTTGGACATGTTGAGTGTCAGCTATGGGTTATGCAAATAAAAATACCTATTTTTATTTTAGGAGTCTATTCTAAGAAAATAATGTGGTTTAAGAAATCAGAACTTATTTATGCCGGAGTAAGTTCAAGATAGGGTTATACTCATTAAAGAGACTGAACATCACCTGAATGTCTAAAGCTAGCACAGTGATTTAAATAGCACAATGCTTCCTCACATTCCGTTAGACAGAGGAACCCACCACAGTTGGTGGCTGGAGATGGTGGAACAATACAAGACTTTGAAATGATGTTTAATTAAAATGATGGGGCACAAAATTTTAGTCATGGTAGTGTTATAGCAATGTTTTTTTAAAGCACAAACTGAAAGAACAAAAGAGAGATCCCCAGTGGCAGCCTGATTTAGGTGTGGGCAGCTGGTGACAGACTTGGAGTAATTGTGAAAAATCTTCAAAAATGAATCTTAATAAACTGTCCCCATCCTCACGGTGGAAAGCATTACAATGAATTCTGTAATACGAATTAACAATTCTTAGGCTAGTTCCCAAAAAAGAGTGGAGAAAGCTCCCACATTATTTTCTCTGTGTTCTCATCTGCCTTTAGCTCACATGTTCAGTAATGGCATCATTAGAAAGCAGGTTTCGGTGTGCACAACAGCCCAAGCGCTTTAGGACAGAGGATGCCTGTGTGAACTAAGAACGGTTAGAAGAGATCTGTCCTGCAGTAGCAGCAATACCTAAGGTGGGGGCTTAACGAAAGTGCTTGTCCAGGTTTCAACAAGAGGGAGAGTTCTGTTCGTTGTTATTTTATTTCTCTGTTTGGTTGTTGGGGTTATTTGTTTGGTTTTGAGGTAAGGTCTTGCTAGCAACTGCAGGCTTGCCTAGAATTCATTCCACATCTCTGACTAGCTTCAAACTTTTGATCTTCCTGCGTCTGTCCACAATGCTTGGTTGGAAATGAGTTTTCAATAAAACTATCTTGAACTGATTTAAAGTGCTGACGTGATAAGCGAATGCATGGCAGGTGAAACATATACCTCTCCAAACAGAAACAGGACTTTAAGCACATACCATAATGTCACCCAAGCAGCTCACACCTGCTTTAACTAAATCTTTACCAGTCTTATCTTTTTCCACTGACTTACCTCACCAATCAATGGATGTAACTTGAAAGAAAAACCTTTATTTTCCTTGCATAGCAGGAAAAAGTGCAGTAATCCTAAATACTTAGCCAGGTATTTGATTCTCTTTTTAAAATCAGGACCCCGCTGAGCATGGCAGCAGATGCCTGCGATGCCAGCCCTGCAGGGCTGCAAGCTTGAGACCAGCCTGGCCTACACAGCACGTTCAAGGCCAGCTGAGACAGTCTAGTGAGATCCTGCCCTAGGAACAGTCAGGAGCCAAACCGGGATGAACGAAGCGTGTTCTGAATTACAGCATGAACAAGGAGCCTGGCCTTCTCAGGAGCATCACCCCAGATTTACTGAGCTGATGACACTTTTCACTGTGACTAATTTTATTTTCAAATGTATTCTTAATAATAATAATAATAATAATAATAATAATAATAATAATAATAATAATAATAATAAAGAACCATACCATATTGCTGATAGCCATATCAGCTCTCGAGAGGACTGAGTACTGGGGGGTTAAAGACAAAATGACGGGCAAACGCATTCGCACCCTCCGGTAGGCAGAGCGGGAAGGTGCTTCCATGGAAGAGGCTGGGTGATCTGAGCTGTGCCGAAGGACGAGGACAGCGCAGCTGTCTGCATCACAAGCATGCTCTGTGAGACCAGGTGCCACGTGGACGCAGTGGTGACTGGGCAGAGGAAGTGACCAGCTTACCCAGAGTCCTGTCACCCTCTTAGCTCATCCTTCCACACTAATCATGAGGGACACTGCGTGCACCTCCAAGAATGGTTGTCACTCTTCGTTGCTAAGCCGTGCTTGGATCCCTGGCAGCACCTGATAAATGTGTTGAACTAGTGGATTTCTCCTGGCTCCCACTACTGGGGAATACATTCTCTGGGAGGCACTCCTCCACTTCCGGCTGCTCCCTGCACCTCCTTGACTCCTATTTAACCTGCAGACGGACGCTCACCTGCATTGCACAACACTTCCAGAAAGCCTGCCAACCCCTCTTCTGCTCTCACAGCGCTGGTCTTTACTTACAACACTGCAGTCTGTAATTACAAGCAGCTCGTCGGCTTTTTCCAGTGTCAACAGCAAGCTCCATCAGAAGACAGGCATGTTCTTCTCAACACCACGATTAACATACTCTGGTGCTACTGTGATGCCTGGCACACATCAGTCACCTTGAAGGCATTTACCGAATGAGGTAGGAGCTTCATGTACCTGTTTACCTTCGTGACTTGTGGGTGTCCTGGACACATCTAGGTCTCCCAGCACTTCTGCTCAGCTCACCAGGCCCAGCCCTAGCACCACCCTCAGGCCAGCTCAGATCCTTTGCCAGAGGTGCCAGCTTCTCCATTAACCCCTGCCTGGACTCTGGAGTGTCCAGCTTAAATCCGCCTTGCTGTCTCCGAGTACTCCTCAGGATCAAGCTCGGGCATCCTCTCTCTGCACACCTTTTGCTATCCCCCGACTCACAACAGACGGCACACGTCTCTGTCCTTGTGCTTAACACACGGTTTGTCACAAGACTTATCACTCTTTACCTAGTGCTATGTAGTCGTCTGGCTGACCGGATGTTCCTGCTGTTGGGCTAAGTTCCTTGAAGTCAGGGATCTGGTCCCATATAAATATCTGAAGGTGGCATGTGCGTCTCTGCTGTATCCAATGCTCTGCACAACACTGGAGACACGGATGTCTGTGTATAAATGTACACCTGGTCGCTGCTCGAGGAGCTCGCTGAGGGACATTTCACAAACAGTAACATGCTTTAAGGAACTGAATTTGCTGTTGCCAAGTCTTGTGTTACCTTCTCTCTTATCATATGCTCAAACTGCCTCACTAACACGTGAACACTGAAGAGCAGAGGACTTAGGAAAGTCAGCCACTTACCAGGAGCATCAGCATGAAGGACCCCATATAGATTATCAGGAAAAAGAGGGAGATCATGGTCAGCGTGAGAATCCCTCGAATCCACCAGTTCTTCCATCTACAGAGAAGAGGTTTGTACAGTCAGCACTTTATAATGTGATTTTTAAAGTTGTGGCATGTGTGGTTTCAGTCCTGAATTTCCAGGGTTGGGAATTTCTCCTAACTATTCTTGAAGAACATATTATTTCATTTTATATAACAACAACAAACGGCAGTTGCTCACTGAGGGCTAAGGTAATTTATGTTAGCTAAAGAAAGTGATTGTTGTTAAATCTGAGGATGGGGAGTTAGGTGGTCAGCCTGGGTGTGGGAATGGGTGTCAACCAGGATCTTGTGAGGAGGGGAAGCCTGAAGGGAGTCCTGGACAGGAAGATGTTCGGGTCCTGAAAGTGTAAATACAAACACGGCCCAGTTACGATGGTGGCACAGGCCGCAGACCTGCCACACAGAAACCTGGCTTTGGTTTCTCAATTCAGACATCATGGCAGGTACAAAGGGCTGGCTCCTACGACGCTGAAGACTGGTCTCCCCAGACTTCCGTTGTAAGGCCAAGCTGTCCAACAACTCTCTCCTCTCGGGCTGGACCCTACAACAATATCGTTTGGGGGCCCTTACATTCACTGTTATCTGATCATGCCATGAGGCATACCAGCAAGCTCTGTACAAAAAAAACAAAAAAATCAAAAAACAAACAGACAAAAATCTAAGAATAGTCCAGTACAGGGACTGTCTCTTGTAAATCATCCTAGAATCCTTAAGGCTGGGTTCAGTGCCACACACCTGCAGTCCCGGCAACACGGAACACAGCGATGGAAGACCACTTAAACCCTGGAGGACGAGGCCAGCCTATACGGCACCAAGGCCCTGTCTCAGAGATTCTGAAAGCTCCTGAATGTGGGTCATTCCTGTTCCAAACTCTCTGCTGTTTTTCTTTAATGTTTTAATGTGTTTTTGTTTGTTCTTTTGTTTGTTTTTTCCACATATCCTTTGGGCCCCACAGCTGGAGGCTACCATAGATTTCTAACTTCTTCTGCTATGTTCCCTGAGCCAACACATCCTCTGTGAGTTCTGCTAACAAGCTTCATAAAAATCCAAGGTCCTCAGCTACATGTGTTGGATGCATTTTGTAAGAATTCAAAAATATTTGAGTATGAAAAGGAAGGAATGATTTATGTAAGCTGCACATCATTGGATACACACTGCCTTTTCCTCTACAACCCTGTCTGCTCAGAGATATGGCAACAAAATAGAAATGCATCTGTAGACAGTGTGTGCTCGGCAAATACACCATGATACAGAGCCAATCAACAGGTTAATAAAAACATAAAGCACAAAGCTAGAAGATTCTTGGGGCCATCAAGACAGCTCAGCAGGTAAAGGTGCTTGCTGTGCAGGCCTGCGGAAGGTGACAAAGGCAAAACGACCCTAGAAAGTTATCCTGAGCTCCACACGCCAGGGCTGTGGCTTATGTGCACATACATAATACATTTAAAAATAAACTTTAAAAGATTTTCACTAGTCACTGTACACAAAATATGTTAAAATCAAATGGTGTGTGTGTGTGTTTGTGTGTGTGTGTGTGTAGCTCAGGGTGATGGGGAGGGAGGTTGGAGGATCAAGGGCATGGGGGCAGAAACTGTTTGTGGTACCCTCTCAACTCCTGCATCACACTGGGACACACACACATTGGCACCAATCAGAAAGCAGAAAGCGGAATGCCAGTCCCTCCTCCCCCCCTTTCACTTAGTCCAGAACTCCAGCTGAGGGGACCCACTTGTCCTCACTCATGTCTCCCTGCTCTGTCAACCCCTCTGCAACCACCATTACAGACACACTCCAAGTCAGTCGAATTAATGCTCTGGGGGCTTGTAAGTCAAACCAAACTGACAATTAAAATCAACCAGCATGTATGACTTTTATTAGTTCCAATCGTAACATTTAATTTATATTACAAAAGATTTTGATTCAATTTAGTCTAGTTTGTACATTTTATTCTAGGCACAGGTCTTTTCCTTTTTACAACAGAAATGATAGCTGATTTCATCTACTTATAAAATATTGACTATATTTCTTGCTTTCAGACACACCCCTATGTTATATGGCTACTTTTACTTTTTTTTTTTTTTTTACACATAAAAAAAAATCCATAAGGGGTTAAGGATTTAGCTCAGTAGTAGAGTGCTTGCCTAGCAAGTGCAAGGCCTGGGGCTCAGTCCTCAGCTCTGGAAAAAGAGAAAAAGAGAACATGAATCCTAAGGGTAGTGTGTGTGTGTGTGTGTGTGTGTGTGTGTGTGTGTGTGTGTGTGTG